CGTATAAACAGAACTTCTCTTTTTATTTATTTTTTGTTTTTATAATTCTGCTATAGTACATTTTTGCGCACCTAGCTACTATCAGTAATCACTAACCAACTGCCAAAACATTTGAGCTATCGAGTGCACATTACTTAAGTATTTTTGACGAGCAAAAATGCAAAAGTTTATTTACAGGTCCATTCTGCGCGTTACCGAAGATTTTGTAACCGGAAAATTTTATTACCAAAAAATGTTACCAGTTTTTGTCACCGCGATTCTAGGTACGTTGGTAGCGCAGTTAAAATATTCAGCAATTCAGCTATGAAGAATTGTGGAAATTCTGGCATTGCATATTTCACGGGGCAATACTTTGTTACCAGCTTATGAGATAGTAACAAAATTTACCGGTTACAAGAGTACACAGAATGCGAAAAGGGTTTAATAATTGACAGGAACTTTATTTACCGGTTACAAAATGGTTATTACCAGTGCAGAATAGACCTGTTAAAGTGAATCTAAAATTGACGTCTGTCAAAAAAGTTCGAATGAAAAAGACAAATGCCGCTGTGGACTAGCTGCTATCCAGACCAGGCGCCATATGCGCCTTCGATGTTCAGTCACTTTGTAATAGTAGAGTCCACTCTTTGATGCGAAAATGCGAAAGGCAAAAATTAGCGTTTGTTTTGTTGTTTTGCTGTGCGCAAGGCGCATCAATACAAGGTGGTGTTGATGGATCAGCTGATTGGATATTTTTGTCTCTACACTAGCACAGGAGAATGTCATCCAAGACAAAGTGGCGCAACTTTAGGATGTCAACAAAACGAATTGACGAAAATTATCTCCTATTCCCTTTTGTTTTGACATCCTCCTGTACCAAAAAGCAATAACAAAATACACGGGACTTTTACTTATATGCAATTGCCACCACCTTGTATGGATGCGCCTTTGCTGTGCGTTTGTGCGAAACGATGCCATAACGGTGCCATATGTTTGTTGTAAAATACTGCCGATTTTCGCACTTTCGTTCAAACATACACAGATTCGCATCAAAGACTGAACTCCAGTAATCGTAACAACATGTTGACCGAAGCTTCTAATTTTCTGTGAATTTTTAAAACTTTTATCTCTCACCGGACTGTTTATTCATAAATTACGTCGCTTAAAGCGGTTGGTCGCTTTAAGCGGAGTCGTTTTAAACGGATGTATTTTCATAGTAATTTGTATAAAAACCAAACTTGAGGTTGTGGTTACGCTACAAGCGGTTGGACGTTACATGCGGAGTCGTTATAAACGGATTCTGCTATATATTATTAGTCAATTATATAAGTTTGTGGTAGTTTAAGTTATTCAATGGCATTCAAATTAGGGGCTCCAAAGGATATATTTTATATCCTGTATTGTTTTTAGTTTATTTAAACTCGATTTTATCACTACCTTTCATTACAAAGGTTACCGCTTTCGCAGACGATCTTGCCATTGCCTATGGTTCAACGAATTACAGGCTAACCTAATACTCGCGGCTTGCGTTTTGGTACGCATGCCGTCGAAAAATTGGAAATTGAGTTAGCTTCATACGCACGCCGTTCAATTTCGGTTGGTCCCATACAAGTTGCATGTGGTTAATAAAATTCAGCAGTTTTTAACTATTCAAAAATGTGTCATTAGAAAAATATGTAATGTTGACCGAATTCACAACTCCATGGATCTGTTTAGGAACTTGAGAATTATTCTTCTACTACAAGACTTTAAAGGTCTTGTACTCGTTGTGGTTATTAACATAGCCTACTTCCAGATAAATAATTATAATTTGAGAAAAACGCTGACAAACTTGTTGTTGTTCCTACATCTCGTACTACACACTTCACTAATTTCTTTACTATAGTTTCTTGTAAGCTTTTGAATGCTCTATACTATATCTAAAATGAAAAGATGTAATAGTTTCCCTTAATTTCTATAAGGTGTTAAGCAGTAATCTACCGACTTCTGTACAAAACCGTATTTTGAGAGAAAATGAGATAGGGCCTTTATATATTATACATACGGTGACCATCCGTTCTGTTTTTTGCAGGACCGTACTGTTTTTCAAAGGTCGGTCCTGCATAGTTTTTCAAACCTAAAAAACCTGAAAATGTACTGATTTTTTCCAAGTGTCCTGCATTTGTCCCGCATTTTATTCGTTATTTTAAAATTATCGGACAATGGATGGATGTTTTCAAAAAAGTGTTTTTTGGTAATTTTCGTAGCTTTTTTTCAATATCTCATGAAAAAATTTCCCAATCAACGTAAGCGACTTACAGCTCGAAGGGTATTGATGTGCCTCTTACCAAAATATATAACTTGTGGGGACTTCAATGAAAATTATTAGTGCTACAGGCGACCATTTGCATTTTGTCGTCAAAGTCGAAAAAAGTGAGAGTTTCAATCAAATACGCAGTTTTATTTGATTATTTTTTTCATTAGTTTAAAAATTCGATAAAGAAGATATATCATTACAGTAAATTTTGAGCCAAAGATAATGAAAATCGGATTAGAAATGTAGATGCTATGAAGCGCAATCTGCACAAATTATATATTTGTGTAAAGGGCACATAAATACCTTTGTAACTCGTCGTTTACGTCGATTCATGACGTCGATTTTTGACAAATAACTGCGAAAGGTACCAAAAAACAAAAAAAAAGGATATTATTTTCGTTTTGGACGACTCAAAATTTGCGTATAAAATAACCTTTTAAAGATTTTCTCTTTTCGAGTAAGCTATTGTAATTATAATATGTTTTACTATACTTTTATAAATATTAATGTAAAAAAAGTTTAAATCGATGAAGAAAACGTGATTCGTTTTTAAAGTTTAAAATGTATTAAGAATTTAGAATCATAAATACTCTTTTGATATTTTTATACTACGTAAATATATGAAAAATTGTCCTTCATTTTGAATCCATATTTATGGTCACCGTAATTATACAACACGTAGTACATAAAAAGATATGTACATTCTTCCGAAGAACAAATGCCATCAAAAAGGAAGAAAACCTCTATGAAATGCCCTTTATCAGGCCTATTCTGCGTTGGTAACAAACATTTTGTTACAGGTTAGTAAAGTTACTGTCAATTTTTAAACCGTTTTCGTATTCTCCACACTCTTGTAACCGGTAAATTTTGTTACAATCTCATGAGCAGGTAACAAAATATTGCCCCGTGAAATATGCAACACCAGAATTTCAACAAAACTCCATAGCTGAATTGCTGAATAAATTAAAACGTTACCAAGGTAAATAGAATTGCGGTTGCAAGAAGTGGTGACAATTGTTGGTAACAAAACTAGATTGTTACAAAATGTTCGGTTACAAGCAGAATAGGCCTGTATGTAGAACATTTATTTCATTTTACATAATAAAAACTACACTGTGGAACTTTTTTATAAGTTTTTTAATTTTTAATATTGTTATTGAGCTATGTACCACGATTGTGTTTATTAGGAACAAATGGAAAAAGCAACAAAGTCTAAGCGGTGGAAGTTATAGCAGCTATTTCGGAGATAATCATATCTCCTCATCAGACTTCTTTTTTCTAGACTTCAGCAGAGATCGAACCGGCGTCATCGATGTGCAAAGTCAGGAGCCGTAACCACTGAGCTATGCACGCCCCGTAAACTCTTGTTGCCAATTCATTTCCTTATTTAACCTACTACTATCAAGTGCAGCTGATTTGCCGCTATTTAAATTGGACAGCGTGGGTGTTGTTGTCAATACTATACATGTATTTTACAACGCTTTTATCAACTTGCAATGTTGTATGTCCAGACTACCATACTATATTCTTTATTGTATAGTTTCAAGCAGGCTTTCCTGTGTATTTGTCAATGTTATTGTGGCTTATTAACATTTTATTTTTAATATTGTTATTGAGCTTTGTACCCCGATTGTGTTTATTAGGATAAATGGAACATTTTCAGATTTTTAAAGGGCTCAATCAAATAATGCTTTTGTGTTAGAATTCGAGTGTGATCAAAATTTCCTTCATAATAATTTTGTAGAGCACTTAAACGCCTTTTTTTCTGAAATTAAATGGATCAATTTCAATTTAACGGTCAAAAGCATCTATAATGGTATAAACTAAGGGGCTAAAATATTGCAAGATAAGATTACTCTCTACATTTTACTATAAGTCAAGAATTAAGTATGTTTGAAGTCAATTTGTATGTACATTAGACCGCGTCAAAATAAAAAAAAATCCCGTAATGCGATCGGCATAAGACTAAAATTTTAGCAATTTTAAGAGGTCCCGCGTCGAGCATTTAGTTTTCCCATAGGAATTACAAGTAAGAAAATTAGTTCTTTCCTTTTGAGGTCAATATAATTTTCTAGGGTCAATGAAAACGCTCCACACTATAAGAATACATTTATTACATGCCATTTAAGTATTATGCGTAATTCCAAAAAAGAATTGGGTTATACTACATTTGACCCAAATAGGACATGGGACTAAAAAATTATAACTTAGGAATTTAAATACATAATCTGAGCCTGCACAATACTTAAATTGCATATAATTAATGTATTCTTAAAGTTTCGAGCGTTTTTATTGATCCTAGAAAATTATATTGGCCTCAAAAGAAAAGAGCTTATTTTCTTACGTGTAATTCCTATGGGAGAACTAAATGCTCGATGCGGGACCTCTTACAATTGTCCTATAGAGGGGAGAATTCATAGAGGATCATTTCTATACCAAATGCTAAAATTTTAGTCTTATGCAGGTATTGCGGGATTTTTTTTTTATTTTGACGTGGTCTAATGTACACTCATAAAATTACACGTGTGTGAGGTAATTGAATTTGTACCCATAAAGAGAAAATTTCAACCCACTGTAAAACAAATTTGATGAGTTAGGGGGAGAATGCACTCTAGCGTTCTTCAATAGTGATATGCATAAACATACGAACATAATTTTGTATATATTTATGTAAATATATTTTCGCATTTACACACTTTTCTTTCTCTTCCATTTGATCACACAGCATTATGAAGATATCACATCAACGGCAAATACTAAGCCCGAGCAACCGACATCTACATCCTGTGGGGTGGCACAGGTTGAAGCGGACAGTGCGTCGGCGAATGCGCTGGGGCGTCGGCAGCAACGTTACAAAAATCTAAAGACTCCTCTAAAGCCAAACGCCAATAACAACGTCCAGTGCAATACAACGACGACAACCACACCACACAGCGACTACGATTGCCCTATCGTAGATACCACGGACATAAAAGACGAACCAGGTGATTTCATCGAAACCAATTGCCATTGGCGTGACTGTGGCATTGAGTTCATCACTCAGGAGGAGCTTGTGAAGCACATAAACAACGACCACATACAGACCAATAAGAAGGCGTTTGTCTGTCGATGGGTTGAATGCTCGCGTGGCGAAAAGCCGTTCAAAGCTCAGTACATGCTGGTCGTGCACATGCGACGCCATACAGGTGAAAAGCCTCATAAATGCACGGTAGGTTCAGATACAAAAAATAATGAGTTTAATTTAGGGTGTGTGAGGCCAGCTGCTTCTAGACGAAATAAGGAACAGTTTAGTTTGGCTTTTGGTTCTTCCAAATTTTTTTTTGTGAGGAACCACCGCCTTAGATTTTTTCATGCTATAAAAATCAGTACTTTTCAGTACACTTTCATTCAAAGCAAAATCATGTATATAACAGAAAATACTTTAAAACGCTAGAGTACTTATTTCTAACAATATTTTGGTATGTACAGTGTGTCCAGTATATGTTTTTATTAATCAAAGCCGTAGTTTTTATTAATCAAAGCTGTATTTGGAAAAGTTGAAGCGGTTACCGATTATAACTTGAAGTATAAGGATTTGGTTTAAAAGGCAGTTACTATATTATATGACCTTTGTTTGCCAAAACACGCTTAAGTCTCTTTTCAAAACTATTGCATGCGGCACGCACCACTTCCATCGGTATATTGTCCTATAAGGATGGCTGTTTTAAAATCCACAAAGTTTTTTTAATCCCTAAGTTTCTGCAGAATATAACCCTAAATGCAAAAGTCAAAAGGATTACAGTTAGGTTGGCTTGGGGCCATTCCTCCTTGGGAATAAATGAATTTGTTTAACAATTTCAGAATGTATATATGTTTGCTTTAACGATATAAAGAGATCTAACCCAGTGATCTAACCCATATTTACTATGTCATCGTTTAGGTAATATTTTCATTCGTTATTTAAAATAAAAATTAATCCAGTTTTACTAAGTTGATTTTAATATATTTTATTGACAAGTTTTGTATGAGGATATACTGGAAACACTGTAAATAAAATTTGTTCATAAAAAATAAAAATTTTATTCATTTTAACATGAGTGTACGCAATAACATGTAGTACAAAATACCGTTTTAAATTGTACACAGGAGCCAATAAATTATTTAATATTTATGGCATTTTTGAATAGCATTAATGAGATAATTTCCCTTTGGGTAACTGACATAACTTCCACGGACACAACTTCTGTGTGCCCGTGGAAGATATTTCAGACTTTACACGAAGATCAGACATAACTTCCATATCATGATCAAGTCATCATCCAATTCGTCCTCAATTTCAATGTCGAATCCGTCTTCTTCGTCGTTTTTAAATGAAGTTTTCTCGATTACATTTTCCAAAAACACTTTCGATAAAAACTGTTCGATATTTATCTGATCCTCTAACAATAACTTGGAGGCTTTGTCGATTCAGAATCCCGCCGAAGATTTTTGTTTTATTTTCTTGACAGGTGGCTGATAACGGTCATTCATAGCTCGCAAAAGTTGGGTAGAAATAGCACCCTCTTCAGAGATTAGAAACTAAAGAAAACGGAAGAAATTCCCATTATTTGGAATGCAGTATTGTTGCTCTATGAAGCCGAAGTGGTAGGGCTTTTTAAACTGAATACGGACAGTTCACTCAGCACAAAAAAATAACCTGATAAGTCATAAGAGTTCCACTCACCAGTTTTAACCAATAGCTGCAAAAATATTCAAAAATTGGCTGCTTAATGTAAAACAATTGAAATTCGTCGCTTGTGCTATCAAAATGTTATATCCGTCCATTATTTATCTCGAGGAAGAAGTGGTAAACACAATAATCTCATGTATGAGGCGATTCACGTCAAAGGTCGCAAGCGCGCTGAGCGGTGCAAAACAATCTTCTTAGCTGGAAAGCAGACATAAAATAAAAAAATTATTTTGATTTTTGTACGGGCTATCCGATGGTGCTATGCATTTTCCAAAATTTTCCCACCTTCACGGTGAAAATTCGTAATGAAAATTTATTTGTAATTTTTCTCAATTATGATCATTTTTAATTTTGTCATCCCAATGGAAAGATCACGTCTTTTTACATAGAAATCATTAATAAAAAAGGGTTTTTTTTTGAGTTTTCCGAGCTATAAAGCGTTTCATAGCGGGCTATACCAGTCGCGGCGCTCCGTCGCGTCACGTCGGCTCCGTTCACTTGAATGAATTAAAACATCATACTGTGTGAAATTTTTACACAATAAACTGCAAACTATTCCAAATAATTTAAGTTCAAACAAACTTCTTAATACTTATTAAAAACAAAATGCCGGTTTTTAGAACTTTTTTATAAAAATAAAGGGGGTGGTTTTTCAAATTAAAAATGTGTGCTATAAAATTTCAAGTCTAATTTATTTTTAAAGCAGCATTATAGACAAATATCTGAAACAGTTTTTGGGAAACCTTCAGATTTAAATATCAGGTCGTTCAAAAGTTATAACAGTATTAATGTGATGCGCATAGATGTTTGCATTATGATTGCCATAATAACACTGCAAACTATCTATTCTTGCATTTATTTTTATATTGGCCCCTACACCATCACATCCTCCCTTCCTATGATCTGTAGCTTGAAAATTCTACTCCGCAGGAATCCCGAAATCTTCTGCATGACAGAGGAGGTTTATAGAGCTGCTTTTATTTTTGAAGTGCTGACCTGCTCCATCTGAGACGTAGTAAATTTTCTTTGGATTTTCGTAATTAGTTTTTAAGTAACCGCACATTATTTTTTGATACTCATAGACAGCAACAGTATCGCGATCATGGGCGTAGCCAGGTAGAGGCAGGAGGGTGCTCGAGCCCTCCCCCCCCTAACTTTCAAATTTCCCTTATATATATATATAAAATAGTACCCTGAAATGCCAGCTTAATAGGATCGAGCAAACCCTCCCCCCCACCCCCACAACCCCCCACTTTTACAAGTTCAGTTTTCAGCGTGCACCTATCAGTTTGAGCCCAATTATCAAATTTAATTTCAGAAATATCACTTTCATCCAGAATGTTATTCAAAAAATTGTGTAATTCCACTATGTTCTCACAAGATTTGCACTCTCCCAAAAAACATGTATCTTTGAAATCATCGCATATAATAGCATTAATGCAATCATGATAATTTTTTAGGATTTGATCTACATATTTAGTTAAGTTTTCTATATCAAGTGCTTTAATCATTAATTTTATCATGAAGGACACAAACGCGGACGGTATGAGATCCGCTCGATCCTGCAAAAATACATTCTGGAGCCTCAGTTGAGTGAACTTTGTAAAAAGTATTTTAATATCTGCATACTCATTTACAAAGCAGTAACCGATTTTAATAGGATTCATTGTCACAATAATTATAGAATTCGTTACGTAATCAAGAGTGTCCAAATGCTCTATGCCACTACCTACAAGTATGAATGTAGATTTAAAATAACAAAACGCAGAGTTTTAGACAAATGAAGAAAAATTTAGAGGGGACTCGGATCGACTAAAGTCTTGAAACCTCATGATTTTTTAATATATTTTTTTTAATTCGTGCAAGCGAACCGAGCTGACTTTCACTTTTTCATTTAAGCTCAATATATCTCACACGTGCGCATCACCTTAATATTGTTATAACTTTTGAACGACTTGATATTTAAATCTGAAGGTTTCCCAAAAACTGTTACAGATATTTGTTTATAATGCTGCATTAAAAAGTTATTAGATTTGAAACTTTATAATACACATTTTTAATTTGAACAAAACACCCCTTTATTTTTATAAAAAAGTGCTAAGTGTTTTTAATAAGTATCTATTAAGAAGTTTTTTTAAACTCAAATTCTTTGGAATAGTTTTTAGTTTATTGCGTAAAAATTTCTCATAGTATGATGTTTTAATTCGCTCAAGCCAACGGAGCCGAGGTGACGCGACGGAACGCCGCGACGGGTATAGCCCACTATAAAACGCTTTATAGCTCGGAAAACTCAAAAAAGTCCCTTTTTGTATTAATGATTTCTATGTAAAAACAAATAAAAAAAGTTAAAAATGACCATAATTGAGAAAAATTACAAATAACTTTTTGTTGCGAGTTTTCACCGTGAAAATGAGAAAATTTTGGTAAACGCTTTGCATCATCGGATAGCCCGTATAAAAATCTATATATATCATTGGTTTCGAATTAATTTTCTCATCTTCTGTGTGCTTTCCAACTTTTCGAAAAGAAGCTTCTTTTTCACCGACCAGCGCGCTTGGGACGTTTGACGCGAATCACCTCATATATAGATCGTCTTTTTCGGAACATTGACCATTTTTTCAAAAGGTTTTCAGCGAAACTACCAAATTTTGAGCCGTAATTCTTTGACATTAAAATTTAATATTTTTTAAAAAGTGAAGTTCATCAATCTGTACACTGAACGCCACATTTAATATACAAATATAATGGAACTTACGTATATCTGACATAACTTCCATGAATCAGATCTGTGGTATTAATGTCAGACTTTACTTCCATGGACCAAAAATTGAGCGATGGTAGTAATTTCCAACACTGCCGTTTTGCTAAAATTTAAGCAAAATTTATAAATTTTTTTCATGCCGCACCCAGAAAAAGGTTTAGTTATAATTACCACGATTTGGTTATAGTGACCAAGTGGTATAGTTGGATATGGCGAAATAAATATCTAGTTCACGAAAGTCTGCAATTTACTTGAGACTTCTAGTTGGGACAAATATATATTTGTTAATAATTACAAAACGACTACCTTGAGTGGACAATATTGGTAGTTGAATAAAATCATTGTTGAGCAAATATAAACAATGCTTTGGTTGATGCAAGTTTTCAATTAATTTTGTGAACTTGCCGCAGACTTGAATCAGCTAACCGTTTATTATTGGAAAAAACTTTCAGTTTGACACAAATAAAAATTTACTCGATGGTTGTTGTGTTTACTTTCTTCTTTTATTTGCATATATTAAGTATTAAAAATACTTACATGTTTGCATAAATAGTTACTAGTGTAAATAATACATATGTATATGGTGGTAAGAATTTCGTAAAAAGAAACGATGAAACACGAACAGTCGTGCGAAACCCCAGGTCAATATCTGCTGGAAGTGGTGGTTTAAGTTGACTGCTTTGCTTTTGCCTTGGCTAAATAGACACTTTCAAGTTATAATTCACATGAATTATATATC